GTATTCACCATAAAATCCTAAGACCAAATTTGAGAAGTAGATAGCCAAACAAAAAGAGGACTGAGGATAAGGAAAGCAGTCACATCAGCGATATACAGGTTTGTATGAATTAGCAATTTCGGAGTGGAACTAATATTAAACTGTAGAGATTAGCAGGAACTATGAAATAACACCTATTAGCAGAAAATAAATATGGACAAGGACTTATATTGCCACAGAGAGCTTCCTAAGCACAGCAGAGAGGACAAAGACCAAGATCACTATGGGAAAAAGAAGGTGATTTGAACTGACAGCAAGTACATTGTAAATACAGCTATGACTCCAGAGTTCAGAAAGGCACATAGACCTTTATAGGGGTATCTGGTGGATAAAAGGCAAGAAGATTGGCTTTGGAAGGAAGATAAAGTGGGAACAGGAAAAGGACACAGCAGCAGATGAAAAAGGTCAGAACAACGGGAGAAGAAAATGAACCTCTCAGCAGGTTCCTGTGTGCAGATGACACAGCCAAGGTCACCAGCACAAGGCACCAAGCAAAGGCTCCTGCAATCCAGTCACAAGAGGACAGATGTCTGGACAAGAGGTTTGACAAGACCAGCACGACGGACCTTCTCAAGACTAAACAGGCAGATACCTGTTTGAGTAAGAAAAAGGCAAAACAGAAAGAAACAAATAAAAAAGCAGGGGAGGGAGACACAGGCAGGAACCATTTAAGGGATCCAGCCAGCAACGAGGCCTGTAGTAGGGACTAGAGGACAGAGGAAACTGAGGGAAGTAATGACCTGCAGCAAGACTAGTAACTCGTTCAACAAAATGTAAGGCAACAGCTGGACAGCTAGAGAAATGTCAAGAAGACTGCCTGAAATGTATTACCAGAGAGCAGAGAATGCATTGATAAAAAGATATTAAACAAAAATGTAGTGATCAAAGCCATATTTGTCCATACAAATGCTAGAAAAAGAGAGGAACAACAAAAAAAGCACTAAGTACAGCATGAAGCCTTTTTTGGGGGGGAGGGGGCGGAATTCTTCCCACAAAAATGATGTGCAAGACGCTGATGAACCTGAACAGGAGTAAAAGCATACTAAAAATAAATAACTGAAAGAGATTTAACCTTTCTAAAAGCCCAACTGCTAACCAGAGGTGTAACAAACTATCAAGGTCTCAAGAAGGAGAGAATGAAGTGTCCCACTTGAGACTTTTAACCTTTGATTCATTCACCTTTCAGGGGGATCCCTTCTGCCTGGGACAAATGAGGAAGAAGTCATCATCTAAGCTGGCAATATGGAGAAGCACAAAAGCAGAATCAGGTGCACAAGAGCAAAGGGCAAAGTGACCTTACCCAAGGAACATATGTTTCCAGAAAGATCAAGTGAATCCAAGAGCTAAGTGCCCATAAGAAATACTGCAGAATTATTCTGTTAATTTAAGTGTCAACAAAGAAAAAAAGATTTCTCACAACATTCTACCTCTGTTTGCTTCTCCTCATTTTTCTGAGGGAGGAGAGAAAATAATTTTCAATAACCAAATAAAATTATGTTATCATAGAATAAAAAAATTAGGCATTTGAAGAAGAGATCGGTCCCTGAAATTAGAGCATAATCTGACTCCAAGAAATTCCACTAAAGTCTGCTATGAAACTTGATTTTTCAATGACTTAATTCAGGTGTTGACACACTTTGGGTAGTAATAAAACAGAGGAGCCAGCGCTAGGCAATGGCTAGTTAATGGCTGGCATGGCACATTCTCTTCTTTGGCAGGATACAGGGCCTGGAGAGATAAAATGGAATTATAGCTTTTTTTCATCTTTTTAAAGTAATGGAACAGTGACTACCCCAACTGAACCTGAGATGAGGAAAAAACTAAAGGAAAGAACAAACCAGGCACCAAAGCAGAACTAAAGGAGATAATAATGAAGGAAAGGAGAGGGTGATACAAGAGGGGCTCAGGCACCAGGACAACAGCCAAGAAGCCCCAGCCTCGGCAACAAGAAGCAGGAAGATATATACAGATATCCAGGATAATGCATACATTCAAGTAAGATGCCACTAGCAACAAAACTCCCGGGGCCGAAAAGACAGACATTCCTGGCATCCAAATAAGTAATGGAAATGAGTTCTGCTATATTCATTCCAGTATAAATTAAAATTTTCCCAGGCTTAAGAGCCCTGCATGCTGCTTTCACGCGAAGGCCAGCTAGATGTGGAATAAGCAAATTCCCGTAACTATTTTTGCCTCTCTTCTCGATACTAAGGAGGAGCACTGGTGTGCAAATGCCAAGGGAAACTTTAGAAAAGGCAAAATCATCCCATCTGCCACCCTCCCAACTTGCTCCTGGTTCTGCTCAGATCCAGCCATCACAATCCAGACCACCTTGACAAACCCACAACTAAACCACTGCTACCACCTGCACAGCTGCTCTCTGCCACCCGAGCAGCCGCCAATCCCGCCCAGCCTGCTGCTGCTCACTGGCACGGCACCACAGCACCTCTGCACAGCTCCCACCACTGCACAAGGCCACCTCAGAGTCCCCGGCCCTGCCACACCCACCACATCCAGCATCCAAAGGACACACGCAAGATCCTACACATCTGGAGTAAGCCTGAATCAAGGAGACAACTCAATAGCCTGCCTGGAGCTCCACAGGTTTCTTTCTTGTACCTCTGTACAAGAGCCCCCACCTGATGTCTTCAAAAAGGTGTCACAGGAGATGCCAGGATCCTCAAGAAAGAAGGACTCGGGAATATCAGCATCCAAATAATATTACATTCCTTTGGGCTCTTTAACAGCCTTATTTCTGTTCAATGTGTATCAATGCTAGAAATCCAAATGTTATAAATGGTGACTGCTCTCAGACACTAGAGTCATTTAAAGAACGTTTCCAATGGCAGCAAAACAGGGTGAGCATTTCCCCTTAAATGGAGATCGAAGACCTGATTCTTAAACAAAAGCTGGAACATTTTTAAAGACCTGAAGGATTGCTTTAATTAAGCATGGAACCCTGAAATTCTCTCGTGGGTGAGTTTCCATAGACTGTTACAGACCTGCAGAGCTAATCTCTTCAAGCCCCTGAAAGTCACCTGTTAAGTAGCCAGAGGATACAAACGAGCCAAGACTGGAGACAAGAACCAGAGGCAGCACCCCAAGGCTTCATCAGGCTCTCATCAGAATTGTTTTCCAAAACACAAGTTTGATTACAGAACAAAGTGTCCTACAAGCCCATATGGGTTAGATCCAGTGCAGATTCTGCACCATGATCAGGCTGAAAAGCATGCTATTCACCATTCATGGAGAATCACAGCAAAAAGCACAGCACACATCCCCCCAGACACAAGCCTGTATTAACAATGAATCAGCGCAGAGGCTGGGGGTTCTACAGACCCCAGTGTTCTCCTGGTGAGGCAGCTACCAGCGCCCCAGGAGCACACTGCAGGAGCTGATCCAGCCCAGCACAGAATCTCCAGTTTCCACTCATCCCTCTATTCAGAGCCAGCCAGCTCACTAACTTTCCCGACTCACCACCCCATGGACCAGAAACTCAAAAAGTTTGCTTTTCGTAGCTTTGCGAGCCCCTCCTGTAACTTCATCTGTAGCCATCAGGGTCTGCTCAGCCTCTCTCACTCTCTCTCTTCCTCTTTCTTTCCCTTTTCTGCCTTTTTCTCCAACTCTCCCCTCTGAGTCCTGCTGGGCTCTCACACTTCTAATAGCACGGAGTGGGGAGGGGGCCCCTTCAGGGCCTTCCTGACGGCCCACTCGCGCTCAGCCTCAGCTGCTGCATTCCTCCACTGATAAGCCAGAAATAGTTTGTGCTGCCGGGCTCTGTCTGTTTACTCTGCAGGGACAGAAAATCCAGCTTTTTAAACCTCTCTGTCCAAACAGCAGAGATAAGCAGGAGGCAAATTGAAAAACACGTCTCAGTTTTTCCCTGGTAGTGCTGCAGCCTCTCCTCCTCTGCATCAGGGATGGGAAATTCTGGGGCAAGGGGAAGGGGGAGGGGGCAACTTCAGCAGTGACACAGAGCTCAGCCCCTCGCAGAGCTGTTTTCCCATTAGAAAATGCAGCAGGCGAGCAGTGGTTTTCCCTTGCTCCCACTGCTCCTCCAGCACTGCATTTCCAGGCCCTTTCCCCAGGGACCTGGCAGGCAGCACACAGAAACATTCGCTGGCAGCATTTCCAGCATGAGAGACGAGAGCTAACCCCTCTGGACAAGAGAGAAGCAGCGGGAGGCCGGAGCTGGGAACAGGGAGGGACAACATGTGGAAGCGAGGGGAAAGCAAGCGTGTGAGATCAGCAGACGGGGGTGGGGGGCAGCATGGCGGCGCAGCTCCCACGGCCTGTTTCCAACCCCCACGCCCGCCACCTCTCCCCCTTGACCACGCTCGGGATGCTCCAGAGACCCCAGGCTGACTGACAGACGCGGACAAATTATTAACACCGCAGCTGCTGTAAGACATCAGCAGTTCACTGCTTGTCACAAAAAGCCCTGCACGACAGCGTGTAACATCCCAGGACACTGCTGGGAACGCGAGGCCCAAGGGGGAAGGGAGAAGAGAGCAGCAGCCCAGCCCCTGGCGACGCTGGCAGCACGGCGGCCATTCCACGAGCAGAATGGAGCAGAGGCGGCTGCTCCATGATGGCCGAGCCCGCAGCAGGGCCCGGGGCAGCGATCTGCTTCCCGCAGCTCACAGGGCCCATCTTCCCCGCTCTCCCTTAACACACCAATAGGCGAGATGTTGCCAGGTTACAAGAGGGGTTTATTCTATTCCTCTGCTTGAAATTCTTGTCTAGGGGCTGTGAATTTTCTGGCAGGACTGCAAACAACAGGATCAGATCAGAAACAAAATTATTCTGCCCTCATCCAACAATAAAAACAAGCACAGAAAAGACACTACATTGACTAGCAGCGAAAGGCAAGCCATGAAGGTCACATGGCCTTCTGAACGTGGGGGTGAGGACAGTGACCTCCACTGATTTTTAGGGTCACCCCAATCTTAAGTGCTAGGATGTGGCAACAGCCTGAGGAATCACCGAAACTCAAGGAGGGTGAGTGTGATTATCAGCTCCCCCTCTCAGCCCCTCAGAAGGAATATGCCAAACAAATCAACATAGCCTTGCCTTATTTTGTGCTGGAAAAATTCCTTAAGTTCTAGCTGAACTAAAGGCACATATAATCTGGAACCATCTGCTGCATGTCTGGTGGACATGGTCATGTCAGGTTCACTTGATCTGGAGGGCCTTTTCCAACCTAAACGACTCTAAATTCTACATGCCAGTTTGTCTGGCAAGGCAGGACGCAGCTGGTATCTGCCATGTTTTAGACTCAGACTCACACAGGAATGCTGGCTCCCATCATGTGAGCCCCTTCTCTGCTGCCGGCAGTCACCGTGCACTTTCCTCACAGTCTGCACTAGCTGTGGGTGCCGCACTGGCCGGCGGTCTCAGCAGTCCCGACCGTGGAGGGCACGGGCCCCGGCCCGTGTGGCTGTTTCTCCCCTGGCGGGGAGCCATGCGAGCCCCCGCCGCAGCAAGGCCGGGCGGCAGGGCTCCTCCAGCAGCCGCCCTTACGGGCCCGGCGCGGGCAGGGGCGGCGGCGGCTCCAGGCTGCGGCGCGGCGCGCGGTCCCCCCTCGCGTCCCCCCGCGCTCCGTCGCCAGCACCATCGGCACCGAATGGCAACGGCGCGCCCGGCACGGGCAGGGCGTGCGCCTGCCACGGTCCCGGCCCCGCCACGGGCGGGCGAGGACCGGCCCGGGCCAATCCGCCTGCCCGGGGCCAAGCCGGGCCGGGCCGGGCGGGCAGAACCGCGGCGGGCGCAGCGCGGCCCCGGGCGCGGCGCGCGCATGCCCGGCGCGGCCCCGTGAAGGTCAGCGCGGGCCGGCGGGGACGCGCGGGCGGGGGCGCTTTAACCCCTCCCGCGCCGCGCCGCGCCCGCACCAGCACCGCCCGCGGCCCGAGGAGCGGCACCGGCTGTTCGCGAGCCGGGCCGCAGCCCCGGCCCTTTGTCCGCCGGCCGGAGCATGCGCTCGGCTGCGCAGGTCAGGGGTTTCCTATTTTTCCCCTTAGCTGCAGATACGGCATGGAACCGCAGCCGCCCCGAGCTCCATCCATAGCCACCGAGTCCCTTGTGGAGCAGGAGGACATCTGCTATGAAGTGCTAGTAATTTAAGCTGAAAACCATACCATATATATTGTAATCTGTCTGGATGAACAGACATCCAAAACCAGGTTTCCTTGAACATCAAATTCCAAGGCCAGCCACTTGAAAATTAAGGAATGGCAGCCTCCCTTCAGCCGTCGACTGAGATAATGTAAAAAAAAAAAAAAATTAAAAAAACCTGTAATAATAAAAACTCAGCTCTTAGCATGATGGTAGTTCTCCAAGCACTTTAGAAAAATCAGTACATGCAGCTTTTATGTTCTGCAAATGGAAAATACGGTACAAATGAATGGAAGTGACTTGCCCAACATTACCTAGCTGAGAATGAAACCCATTTCCTGTGATTCTTCAACCCTTCACAATAGTGTCCAGGAAAACTACTGTGTGAGGCATTTGCACAAAAGGGTGAAGGTTACCATGCCAGAATGTAATTTCCCATATTAAGAGAAAGAGCATATAACTTTATTTTAAATTGTTTCGTTTTCTATTTTTCCAACTTTTTTTTCCCCCCATAAAAGTGTAGAAAATAGTTGTCAATGTTCTTTTAAAAAGTGACTGATTTAACCCATGTGATCCCCAACTGCTGCAGGTATACTGGCAGCTTCCAGCCATCTCTGACCTGGAACATCTCTGTGCCAGGGGGCTCTGGGCAAGGCTTGTGTTCCTCCACTCATTCCGGAAGGCTGAGCACACGCTGGGGCCTCATTCATACTCATTTTCAGCTCGCTTCATGTCCCATTCCCAGACCACTTCATTTCAGAGAAAGGCTGATCTCCTTGCCTGGTACTTCCTGGGGTACTGGGAGCCCACTTGGTGTGTGTGGTTTTGGTTTAACTTCTGCTATTCGGGGCCTTTCAGGCTGTTAAACTAAGATGGTCCGATTAGAAAAGAGATGAACCAAGTTGTTTTAGGGAGATGTGTTTGCTGCCACTTGCCATTTTTTGGTCTGAAGGTGATCATAGAAGTAATGAAGGTGCTGATTGCCTTAAGCAGGTGTGCTTTCCCTCACCCAAGTTTCACTTAAGTCAGCATCACTGTTTTCAGTGAAACTTTGAATACTTGCAACAGTTTTGGAATTGATGCACTGTGGCATAGAAGACATGCTGGAACCGAAAAATACGCCAAGACAGAGGCTCTGGTAACCTAAAGAAATGTCCACTTGTTCCTGAGTTCAGAATTATTCAGTAGTCTCATTAACAATATGGGTAATGTACTTAGAGAACAAGCTTATTCAATTTCCTAGAAACATACAGTTTGGAGAGGTTACAAGTTTGCTACAAGAGATTATCAAATTTAAAGTCCTGAGGACCTGGAGATATGTCCTGTTTTTTTCAAACCACAATTCAATCAGAAATAGTGCAGGGTTCCACATAAGGATATAAATCAGCAATTATCTAAACAGGAGATGGAGAACTGGCTGAAGAGACTTTTTTTTCAGAGAAAACATCTGGGGATATGATAGATCGTGAGCTGAATGTGAGTTAACAGTACTACCCTGTCACAAAATAAACAGATAAATCCCAGGAGACTGCAGGAATGCTGCCCCACTGCTCTCATCCCCTTGGTGGCAGCACAGGCACTGACAACAGTACTCTAGATTCTTCATTTTTCCTCATTCCATCTCTCCTCATTCTCCCCATCCCCTCAGCTCTCCAGACCACAAGCTGTTCCAGCTCAACATTTCCTTAAGGTTGAAAAATTAAATGTTGCCAGAATTGCTGAGGAACTCTTCCAAGCCAATTCTGTCATGGTATGAACTGTCAGTGTCTCATCCAGACCAACCTTTGCTGTCAGGGGCTCTGTGCATCAGAGGAAATGTGGGAGAAACCAGGAAACCAGGAAGGTTAAGGAAGGTCAGTAAGTGTGACAAGAACTGTAGGGTCCAAATAAGATAAAAACAACAGTCATCAGGTGTCCAAAAGGCTGCTGCAAATACAGGGAACACTGCTCCTCATACACAGAGTTCAGGAAATAACACCTTGAATTTCTCCCAGGAGGATTATGTTCAATATTAAGGAGAAGCACAGCAGTGACAGCAGGGATGTTCTGAGAGAGTTTGTCCAGCAAGGATGGGACTCCTCATGGCCAAAGGTCTTTCAAGAACAGGTTAGAGAAGCATCTATCCAGAGTGATGTAGGTGGTGTGGATTGTGACTTGGTGTGGATTCTGACTGCAGACAGGACACAGCACCAGCTGATTGCCAGAGATTCCTTTTGCCTTATTTCCATACAGAAACAGGAACCTCTGTGTTACAGAATTTCATTCTCTGTTAGGCCTTCCCAGTACTTGTTTCTAAAATCTGTCAGGGAGGCAGGGAGGGAGGCAGGAAGGAAGGAAGGAAATAAGACAAAGAGAAGTGTTTGTCTCTGTCTCTGAAAGTTCCAAACATCATTGGTGAAGAGGTAGAGAGAGAAACTTATTTCATGATTATTTCAAAAGTAATCAAAGGCAACAGCAGGGATGCTAAAAGACAGAGAAATGTATCAAATATATATGTAATATTATAGGATACAAAATAATGAGTCATCAGAATTATCATCAACCATACTAATATTTTAGTCAATTCTGTTTAACCTCATGGAAAGCTGTCTAGTTCTACCATGCCTTTACCTCCACTTTTCCATCATCACCATCCTCACCATCCCTCTCTACGCTGTGTGCAGCAATAGCTGTGCACAAACATCAAACATCTGAGCACAGAACCAGAGCACTGCAAGCAGCAGCCACAATACTCATCCTCTAACCCAGGGCCAGAGCAGAACTGCAGAGTATGAGAGGCTAGCAGTAAGACTTTGGTCCTTGAAGGAGAAGAGTTGGGAATACAGATTTGAATTTTTCAGAAGTGAATGAAATAGAGGAATTCTTGGTGGGTAAGCCTGAGGGAGCAGAGAAAAAGACCTATCAACAACTACCCTCAAACCAACTGCCCCTAGTTCAGAAAGTGTATCTTCATGATATTTGGTGGTCAGAATGAGGGCTTTCGGGTGTGTTTGGTAAGAGCATCTGGAATATTCACCTGCTGTCACTCACTGACAGAACAGAGCTGAGGGAACCACTGGTTCTTCCCAATGAGGGTGGTGAGGCCCTGGCACAGGCTGTCCAGAGAAGCTGTGCCTGCCCCTAAGAGTGTTCCAGGCCAGGTTGGACAGGGCTTGGAGCAACCTGGTTTACTGGTTGGGCTGGAGAGTCCCTTCCTACTCAAACCATTCTACAATTCTCTGATTCTATGTATAATCAACAGCAACCATGTCACATCTAACCCTTTCAGATATCAGTTTATTGCACAACACTTTAAAATCTTGGTATTCCTTCAGGATAGCTGCTAAAAATCCAAGTTCTGGAGTTTTGTGACTATTTTCATTTACTCTTATTAACATTGTCCTTAATGGTCCTTTGTGTCTAATGTTTATGCTTTGAAGCATTTCTACATACCTGTCACATCCACTCGTCCTTTTGTCAGACTAAACAAGTGAAACTGTTATTTGCCTTCTTAAAATTCTGTACCCATTTGTCATCATACCATCTTTTCTGTCTGTTGTCTTATATATCAAGAGTTCTATTATCCTTATAGTGCAAGGATTCCATATCACCAGTTTCCTACCTCCTCGATGTTTCACGTAGGCAGCTCCTCTCAGCACTGACTGTTCCAGGGCCTCGCAGCAGCCAGCTGACTCCAGATCCCACCAATCCACTCTTTTATAACACTGTTCCTATTTGCTACAGGTGTGGCCTGTTATCACCCGGCCTGCTCCTAACCTTTAGTAACTGGTTCAGCTGCAACTCTTTGAGGGGATAAGATTCCATTCTACACCACCTTCATTCACCCATACTGTATCCCCCCAGACCTGTCAGTCCCAGTTAACCCGACTGGAACGAGGGCAGACAGAACTGTACCTCCAGTGTCCAGGCCACATGCTCGTGTGCCATCAAGACTTTTCTGACAAGAAGAAATCTATCAAACCTCGCCAGGCTCATGGCTGCCTTCCACAACATCCTGACAGTGACAGCTCCATGTTCTCTCCATGTTCTCTGAAGTACCAGGCTGTTTCTCCTTAAGCACTATCATTGGATCATTTCTGGCACAAAGTGCCTACTCCTGTGACAAGGCCTCAGGTGCATGGCTGTGCACTGAATTGTCACCAGATACCACCTGGTTCTGTTTGTGTAGTTCACAGTCAAGCAGTTCTTCCCATATAACCTGTTATTTTCTGCTTCAACAATACCCATTTGCATCAGCAGCAAATTTCATTATTACATTCCCTATTTTTGTGCCATGGACATTAGTGAAAATATTAAATGGCACCAGTCCCCAGAGAAATCCTGAAGAAACTGCAATGTCTTTTGTGTCTTCTTTACTGAGCTCCTTCTCTACTCTGCAGTTCTGCTTTTACCTGTCTTCTGAGTTCCAGCCAAATGTTCAGATCACACTGTATCAAAGGCTTCACTCAAGTCTGGACACGGATTCCTTTGTAAGGAATCAATCTACTTATCTGAGAAAGAGTAGGCTGGTAAACTCAGGCTACTTTTTCATACCGCACGTACCCTTCTCGTGCTCAGTTATTTTGTCTTTCAAAAATAATTCTTGAGCCTTGCATGGACTTAGGATTAAGGCAATGCATCTGCCTAGAGTACTCTCGCCCTTCTGCACTGTCAGAAAACCTACAGGATTTCCTATTTGTTTATCAGGAGTCCATTACAGTTCATTTTGATTAATACTAGCAAAGCTAAGAATTATGCCCTATTCTCACTGAAAGTCATTTGAAAAGTGTGTATAGTTTAAGCAAATCAATAGTAAGTAAATAAGGACTGAAGGATGTATTCACAGACAAAGCTGCTTAAGAATTGAGCACTAGGAGGCTGGAGAAAGGACAGAACCAA